AGAGGAGTTAGACATAGGATGGGTAACCCAATGCTTCCCCAGTTTAAATTTTAAAGGTTGGAAGAAAGGCTGTGTTTCACTTATCCTGGTTGCCCCAATAACATATACAGTATTGTGACTCAGTTTCCCTTCTAAGGTATTTAACATAGAATATGCTGCTCCAGTGTCTACAAAAAACTCAATGTCATCTTTCCCCAGCTTAGCTATAAGCAAGGGCTCTGCTGGGGGGGTAGCCCTCAGTCCCCATCACTCAGAGCCTGAGCTGCTTGAGGTTTGTACTACTGGCAGTTGGGGGACTGATGGTTTTTCTTTCAGCACTGGACAGTCCTTTTTCCAATGCCCCCATTTCTTACAGTATGCACACTGGCCCTTGCCCATAGGGGAAGCTTTCTTGGATGACTTTTCCTGAGTTGCCTTCTTACTAGATTGGGATTTAACTCTTTCAGTTGGACCCCTATCTCGAAACACCTTCCAGGCAACCTCTAGCAGTTTATCTGTATCTCAAACTCCCTCTGTCTTTTACAGCTTTCTTCTTATATCATTTGAAGCTTGACCCATAAACAGCAAAACCAGATGTGCTTTACCATCAGCTGAATCAGGATCTAGATCGGTATATTTGATGGCAGCTTTTCATAACCTGTTTAAAAAATCAGTGGGTGATTTATCATAATTTTACCTCACTTCATAAAACTTTGACGAATTTATGGTTTTAGGGACACCATGTTTCAACCCATGTACCAAGAGGCTTTGGTATTGTTTTAACCTTGCCATATGTTCTGGATATTTGGATCCCACCCAGGATTGTCAAGGGGGAATATCTGAGTGACAGTGCCTTGAAGCAGTCCACTGGCTATGCTTCCCTCCACAGATGTTGTGACGGCTTTATTGATCATTTGTCCCTCAGTGGGATCAAGTCATGTGTCTGTCTCAGGCTGGAAAGACAGGTGTGTGCTAAGGAAGGCAGGGCCTCCCCTGAAATGGAAAATATAAACCCCCTCCCCCGAATTGTTATAAATTTGAAATTAAGGGGCTCTCAGGCAAAAATATGGGAGCAGGAATAACAGTTCTTTATTAGAGAAGAAAAATTTAAAAAATGAAATGAACAATGTAGTAACATAAAACAACACTGACAGAGTCAGAATACGACCTGACACCCTGTTGGTCAGGGTGTTGGAATGGTGGCTGCAGTCCTCCTGGAATAGCAGGTGTGGTTCTGTTGGAGCAGTGATCCTGTAGAAGGGTGGAATCTTCCTCTGAAGATCCAGTGGAAGAGGCAGCTGTTGCTCTGGGAATCCAGTGGAGAAGCTGTCTTGCTGTTCTAGGATCTCAGATTATATCCAGTTAGGAATGCTTGGCTCCTCCCTCTGGGCGGAGCATCTCACAATGGGATGATGTAATTTTATCAGTCATGCAGTGACAGTCAATGGCAAATTAACAGAAGATAACTCCCTGGAGGGAGGATTGGTTCATGGAAGAGATAAGGAAAACTGCCCAATTAACAGAGGATAACTGCCACACTTCTAACAGATGGCAAATAGAATACACATTGCCTTGCAATCTGGGACATTATCCACCTCTTATTCTATTTCCATCTGCACCACAATGAAATCTTACACACAGTTCTCACTTAGGACTAGGTTTCCCTGTGGTACACAACAGGCTGCTCCACCTTTTGCCATTACCCACCAAGTGCAACCAGGTCCTTGAACAAAACTATCCCATGGATGGGTTTGTCTTTGCCTGAGGTGGGACTAATTCACGCAATAAATTTTATTTTTCATATTTTTATTAAAATTGGCTATTTTTCATTTTTCATTTATAACACAGTCTTTCCTAAAATACCTTTCCATTGGTATTACCAGTATTGTGAACAGGATGTGCCTTGGCTTGTCCGGCCCTGCTGCTGAACCAAATAGCAGCAACTGTGGTGTTTCACGCCAGAGACACCTTTGGCTACCTGGAAGTTGCAGCTGGGCTCATGGAGACAAGTCCAGACATGCCGGGGCTCCAGTGGCAGTGGGATGGATCTTCCTCTCGTAGAGGGTCACTCCTCAGGTCTTCCTCTGCCGGAGAAGCTTTAAGGTGGTAGTGAAAGAAGGAGTCAGTTCTGATGGAGGGTTTCAATCCAGAGCTTTTATTCTGGCCCACAGGCCTCTGAATCCAGCAACAGCTCCAACAGAACTCCCTAGTGTGGTCTGCCAGCCCTTTTAACCTGGGGAAGAGGAGGAGGGAAGGGATAGGGGGACCACCAACCAGCTATAGGAGAGGAGGTCTTAAGGGGCAAAGGACACCTGGATGGCCCAATGCCCCCCAGGGATGGAGGGCATCTTTTGAATCTGCCCAATCACTCAATGCCCTTCTGGAATTCCAGGATTGACAGACAGTGCTCAGCAGGCTCTGGGTGGAGGGAAGGAGAGGTGATTGACACACCTGGGAGGGAATCTTCTGGAGAGGGACCGGGGTCTGGGGTAAACCATGAAATCACACTGCAACGCTTGGTTACGTGAAGCCCTACAGTGTCACAATGGACATTTGCAGGGTTGGAACACCTCTGCTCTGGAGCCAGGCTGAGAGAGCTGGAGCTGTTCAGCCTGGGCACGAGAAAGCTCCAGGGAGATATTAGAGCCCATTCCAGCACCTAAAGGGACGTTGAGAGAGATGGAGAGGGACTTTGGACAAAGGCCTGGAGAGACAGGACAAGGGGGAATCGCCATGAGGGGAAGAAGGGCAGGTTTAGGTAGGATATTGGGAAGGAATTCTTCCCAGTGAGGGTGATGAGGCCCTGGCACAGGTTACCCAGAGAGGCTACAGACTCCCCACCTCTGGAGGTGTTCAAGGCCAGGTTGGATGAAGCAATCTGGTCCAGTGGAAGGTGGCCCTGCCCATGGCAGCAGACTGGAACTGAATAATCTTTAGGATTCCAACCCAAGCCATTCTATGATCCTGGATTTGCCCCTCCCTGCCCTCATTCAGCAGCAGCAGGTTGACATGTTCCTTTTGCAGCCATTTACTGCAAACATAGCGACTGAATTAACTTTGCTCTGGATGTTGCCTGCAGCCTCCACCAGCTCCAGCTGGGCTTTGGTTTTCCTAAACACATGAACACACACTCGGGTCAGATTCCTGAATTCCTCCTCCTTAGCTTGTCCTCGCTTCCACCTCCTGGTCGTTGTGTTGTGGCCCACCCCTGTCACTTGTCCCTGAAGGCAGCACAGCCCCACTGCCAACGCAGGCCCCGCATCCCCCTCATCAGACACGGCACAGCACAGGGTGAGTTTTGGGTGGGCAAATGCTCCCCACCAGAGTGTCCATTCCAGACCTCAGTGTCCAGTCTCTCCAGCCACGTCCAGTGCCTGGGTTCATGGAGTGCCCTGCTCTGGGGTCTGCCAAGGGCTGGGTGAGGAGGGAGCTGGGGCAGGGCTGATGCTGCTGCTACACCGCTGCTGAAATCGGCAGGAGGAAGGAGAAAACCACAGAACAAACAGACCAATAAACTCGAGTGAGTGCCCAGATCTGAAAGTGGCTGACAGAAGAGGCTGGAGGGACGGTCAAAGCCCTGGGGCACCTTCTCAGACTGGCCATACCACCAAGGCCATAGACCACCCTCCTCAAGGCTGCACCTGCCTGTCTGAGATCCCTGTCAGGGGACTGGCACAGCAGCACACACCTGCAGGAACGTGTCCTGGCCCTGCAGAGCCACACAGCTCAGCTGGCATGGGTGGGTTTTATCTCCTGGGAACTTCCCAGCCCAGCACAGCTTCTGCCCAGCTCTGCCCATCTGCCCTCAGCCCGGTCCAGCCCATTCTGGGTGAGCCCCATGGCAGTGCCTGCTCTGGGGTGCTCCAGTGTCACCATTGAGCAAGAAATGACACAAATCCACCAGCAGGCTGGTTTGCACAACAGCAGCAGCTTTTAATATGCAAGTTCTTTTATAACTAGGTTCAATACATTCTACTCGATTGGTTAATTAACAAAACATTTTTCTCACAAACAGAGAAGAACAGAAAAAGAGAGTAGGAAAACACCACCTGAAGGCTGTTTATACTAACAAGTTATCATTGTTTCTCTACAACTCCCTGAAATCGCACAAGTCCATTGTGAGAAAACAAATCCCGTTTTTTTGCTCTTTGACCAGGCTGTCACAGCCACACTCCAGCCCTGGGGGCACTCACCCCACAGCCCTGGGGCACTCACTCACCCCACAGCCCTGGGGGCACTCACCCCACAGCCCCGGGGGCACTCACCCCACAGCCCCGGGGGCACTCACCCCACAGCCCCGGGGGCACTCACCCCACAGCCCCGGCCCCCCTGAAGGGCTCAGCAGCTGCAGAGGGGCAGGGAGGGAGCTCAGCCTCCACATCAGCCCCAGGCTGCAGCTCCCATGGCAGGGCAGACGGAGCTCAGTGACAGCGCAGAACTCCTGCTCCTGGCTCCAGAAGGCTGCCTCTGCCCACCCAGTGCCAGCTCCTCTGTCCAGGCCAGCACAGGGGACACAGGGGCCTGGCCAGAGCTGGTTCCTGCAGGAGCAGCTTCCTCTGGATTCCACCTGCAGGCACAGAAACGCTCCCTTGCTCTCCTCCCTGGACATCCTTTCCCCAGCTGGGTGTCCTGGCTGGCTGGGCTGGCTTGTCCTGCTGCCCCAGCCCCTGCTGCCCAAGGGCCCTGAGCTGGCTCTGCTGCTCTGCACACACCAGTTCTGCTGCTGACCATGGCCCGGGCTGCAGGGAAGCAGCAGCTCCAGGGGGAAGGTTCCAGAAAGGCTCTGGGCACTGAGGCTGACAGGGGCACCCCAGGGTCTGCAAGTTCTCTGTGTGGGAGCTGAGCTTGTGACCCCCTGAGCCCTGCCAAGGGTGGGGCTGCACCTCCAACTCCAGAGGAGATGTGACAAATGGGAGCAGAGACAATAATTCCTGCTGGATTCTTTCTTGTGTTTGCTTATACAGGTGAGCTGGATCCATATGTAGAGGAGGTGTTTTGTGTTAGTAACACTGGCAGAGTGATAAGAATAATATTTTTAAGCTGAAAATAATATTTCATGCATAACACACAATGAGAAAAAAGAGACATGTATGATCAGAAGAGCATCTGAGTTTTTCAGAGGATGAGAGACTCATTGATGTTCCATGTGTCCTGTTGAATTACTTTCCTCAGGGCTTCCTTGAGATGAGAGATGACCATCTGTCCTGGTTTTGCATCAGGAAGTGATTCAAAGAGAAGCTGCTGGCAGTTTCCTCCGTGTCTGACAAAAAAAAACAAACAGTAATTAACTCTGAGAATTGACAATCTGTTGAAATCTGAGAAAGCTGATACGCCTCTGTGAACACCCATGTGAAAAAAGAAAAATCCTGGGAAATCCCTCTTTCTTTTCTGGTCCCAAAGAGGTGACAAGGCCCCCGTGCTGGCCTGGCTGGGCCGGGCCCAGCGGATGCAGGACAGAGAGAGGGAGGCCATCGGCCCCTGAGCCCAAGCCTGGCTGCTGAGATCCTACCTGTGAAAAACGCCAATCACTTGTTTTTAACATTTTAAAAGTTTAATAGTAATAAAATGGTTACAAAAATAGCAATATAATTAGAGTAACAAAAATTTGAACAATTGAGATTAGGACAATATGAGACAAGAAGAACAAAGAGTTATGGATATCCGGGTACCTTTTCTGGGCAAAATAAGGCCGAAAAAGGACGCAGGTTAACAGAGGATTAACCCTTAAAAACCATAGCCTGTTGCATATTCATATACTTCATATATGATGCATAAATTCCATTCAAACAAAGGATTCTGTCTGGTCAGTATCAGCTTCTTCCTCTTAATCCTAACGGTGTCATTATGGCTGAGCAAGGTGGGAAGAAGTTTGTTTCTCCTGATAAAAGAGCAATAAATTCTCTTTCTCTGAAGGATTTAGGTGTCCTGTGGCTGCTATCTGGTGCGCGTACCTCAATCCTTCCTAAAAAAACCATAACACATACATAGTTCCTATTTTAACTACAAAAGTTACCTTTTAACTATAAAACTACATTTACCACACTGTTAAAATGTTAATACAGCACTACAAATCAATACAACATAATACATCTGCATAGAGCCATACAATATGCACTTTTCACACCAGCCATTCCCTCCCCGCCTTGCACAGCTGCCAAAAAAACCCAGAGGTGGCTCTGCAGCCTGAGCAGAAAAAAGCCCCGGGCCAGACCAGCTCGGCCAAGATTCCACCAGCGCTGAGATTCGCCCGCAGCTGCCGGGCAGGAGGAGGAGGAGGAAGAGGAGGAGAAGGCATCAGCCCCACGCTGGTGCTGGCTGCTGAGTTCTGGCCTGGCTGCTGAGATCCTGGCCATCCCCAGCCCAGCCCAGCTCCACCAAAAGCTTTTCTGCAGCCCCCCGGTGAGATATTAACCCTTTCACTGCATCAGTCCCTCCCTGAGTGAGAGAGCAGGATGAAGTTCAGACACATAAAGAAACAACATGAAGATACTGAGGCCAGTGAAGAGGAAGTCAGACCCCAGATGGGAAGGATGAGGAGATGTCTTTGTCTTGGGGCTGAAATCTTCTTGTAAAGCTATGGAGAAGAATATAATTGACCAATCAGACCTTTTTCCCTATAACACATTGAAGAATTATGGGGGGGTGGATTGTTCAAACCTGTGTTGAAGCAGGCAAATGCTGAAATAGCTGTGAATTTAAAAAGTTTGAACACAGAGAGAGAGGAGACATGAGACTCTGTGCCCTGAGGCAGAGAAGAAGACCTCTGTTTCCAGATATTATCTGAGATAAAGAGAACCTTTGCTCTTGAACAGCTCATCCTTAAAATAGTCACCCCATAAATGTGACATGGTCCATAAACCCAGCTGTGGAAAAGATGGGAGGGACTCCACGATTGCTGATTTCCTGGGTGGCTGCTATTCCTGAAAATTAGAAGCCATGAGAGAACTTTTTTCTAGTGGAGCAGTTTCCATAAACTTAACAAGAGGGACTTCTCTCCCTAAGTGAATTGTAGAAAGACTATTCTAGAAGTGCTAAACTGACTGAATTGTTTCTGTGCATTGGGAGTGGGAAAGAAAAGGTTGTGGGGGGAGGAGAAGTGTTCTAAAAGTTTTATTCTGATTCTCATTCCTCTTTCTTTTAGTTACTGTTAATAAAGGTTTCTTTACATCCTTTTCAAGTTTTGAGCCTGCTTTGCCTTCCTGCCAGTCCTATCTCACAGCAGGAAATGAGTAAGGGTATTCTAGGGGTTCACTGGTGCTTGGCCAGCACTGAAACCCACCACGTTAATTGCTGAGCTGGCTGGGAAATCTCAAACTGGCAAACCAAACCCACTACAATGAACTACTGGTACGAAGCAAGAGAGGAGCTTGGATCCGTGGTTCTGCTTCTCGGGTGACCGGAACAGCCGGAGAAAAGCCAAGTGTTTGTCATTTTATAATAAAGATTTTGCGTTGTTTGTACGAGTGCAATTTTGTGCTCGAGTTTTGGATCTGGGTGTGAACCTTGGGTCACGTGTGAGTGTAAAATGTGTCACAAGAGGTGGTATTGCACAGCCAGTGGTGAGAGTGCCTGGTGCTGGGAGTGTAAAAGAGGGGAATTAAGGACCAGAAATCAGACCTTTAATTTCTTAATTTCTCTAGGACATGGGGAAATAGGCAGCCCAAGAAAAGGAAAAGCTTGGTGGGAGGCATTGATTGAATCACACCAGGCAGAAATAATTAAAATAGTGTGTGGGAGACAGTATTTGGTTCCTAGATTTGGATGTATCTGAGGAGGACTGGGAAAAGACACGTGAGAAGTGTAAAGTTAAGATTTGCATTGAAGCTAAGCAAGAAGAGAGACAAAAAGGGGTGTAAGGGAGGTTTTGGGATAAACTAAAAGTTTTATTCTGATTCTCATTCCTCTTTCTTTTAGTTACTGTTAATAAAGGTTTCTTTACATCCTTTTCAAGTTTTGAGCCTGCTTTGCCTTCCTGCCAGTCCTATCTCACAGCAGGAAATGAGTAAGGGTATTCTAGGGGTTCACTGGTGCTTGGCCAGCACTGAAACCCACCACGTTAATTGCTGAGCTGGCTGGGAAATCTCAAACTGGCAAACCAAACCCACTACAATGAACTACTGGTACGAAGCAAGAGAGGAGCTTGGATCCGTGGTTCTGCTTCTCGGGTGACCGGAACAGCCGGAGAAAAGCCAAGTGTTTGTCATTTTATAATAAAGATTTTGCGTTGTTTGTACGAGTGCAATTTTGTGCTCGAGTTTTGGATCTGGGTGTGAACCTTGGGTCACGTGTGAGTGTAAAATGTGTCACAAGAGGTGGTATTGCACAGCCAGTGGTGAGAGTGCCTGGTGCTGGGAGTGTAAAAGAGTGGAATTAAGGACCAGAAATCAGACCTTTAATTTCTTAATTTCTCTAGGACATGGGGAAATAGGCAGCCCAAGAAAAGGAAAAGCTTGGTGGGAGGCATTGATTGAATCACACCAGGCAGAAATAATTAAAATAGTGTGTGGGAGACAGTATTTGGTTCCTAGATTTGGATGTATCTGAGGAGGACTGGGAAAAGACACGTGAGAAGTGTAAAGTTAAGATTTGCATTGAAGCTAAGCAAGAAGAGAGACAAAAAGGGGTGTAAGGGAGGTTTTGGGATAAACTAAAAAATGGGACACAAGGCAAGCAAGGAGAAAGTCCCCAGGAGAAAGGGAAGCAAGAAAGCATCAATAAAGATACCTTCCGATAGCCCCCTTGGGATGAAATTGGCACAGTGGGAACATAAACCTGACACCAAGAATAAAAATATAATGTATCATAAAAAAATGATACATTATTGTATGATAGAATGGACTAAAGAGGAGATATACATGGAGCTTTACACATGGTTCCTTTGAGAGAGGGATGTGCCAAGCATTGAACATTTTTGTGAATGCTAAAGAAGCAATCACTCAGGAACAGAAGGATTCTGCCACTTGCTGGAGGGGAAGCCTCTCTGGGGGAAGAGAATACATTTAAATAAAAAGAAGCAAAAAACTGAGACCCCTTAGATTATCAATCTCCTCCATATCCACCAGCACCCAATGTACCCCCTCCACACTCTGATGGACCCAGCAAGAATACCAGGGGAAGAGCGGTCCAATGAGAGGAATCAAAAAATTGGGAGACCAAAAAATTGAGAGGACCAAGAAGTATCACTACACTCCCTCCAGGAAGTACCCTTGGGAAGGGCACAAGGGGAATTGGGTTTGTAACTGCCCCACTTATCTCCTCTGAAGTGAGGGCCTTTGAAAAAGAATTAAAAGCTCTACTAGAAGATCCTATTGGATTAGCAGAACGAGTAGACCAATTTTTGGGACCCAATGTTTATACTTGGGACGAAATGCAATTTATAATAAACCTTTTGTTTACACACAAAGAAAGACAAATGATCCCAGCAGCAGGGATGCAGGTATGGGAGAGGGAACATGCAAACAGACCCCCTGGGGAGGAGAAAATGCCATTACAGTGCCTGATTTACATCCCATACAGTGGCAACGATAACCGATAACCCCAGGGGAAGGCAAAACATGGCAGAGTATAAACATTAATTACCAGGAGAATTAGGGAGGCTGTTCCCCAAACTCAAAATGCCCATAAGGCATTTGCTGAACACCAAAAGAAGGAGGAGACTCCAGCTGAATGGCTGGAGAGGTTAAAAAGAAATATGAGACCGTACTCAGGAATGGACCCTGACAGAGAGGCTGGACAAGCTCTGCTAAAAGTGACCTTTGTCACTCATGCTTGGCCAGACAGAAGAAAAAATTTAGAAAGATTAGATGAGTGGCAAGACAAAGGACTAAATGACCTGTTAAAAGAAGCCCAGAAGGTATATGTACAGGGTGATGAAGAAAAAGCAAAGACAAAAGCTAAAATAATGGCGGCTGCTCCTGCTGAGGCAAACTTGCCATTTGCCCAAGGAGCCATTCCCACAAGGAAATGAGGCCCGGGAGGACAAGGGGAACAGAGCTCCCTGGGAAAAACGCCATAAAGAGGGAAAAAGGGAATTTAACAACCAGGGCCCAATCTGTCATTATTGCAAAGAAATTGGACATTTAAAGTGGAACTGCACACAGAGGGAAAAAGACCTGAAAGCCTTTAAGGAGGTTTGAGAAATGGATGAATAGGGGTGGTCAGGGGCTCTGTCTCCTGAGGTCAAAATATCAGCAGGAGCCCTTGATAACTCTAAAAGTAGGCTCCCAGAAGGAGGAATTTGAATTTCTAGAAGATACAGGG